TCGGGGTCAACCGTTCTAACCTTAGCTAAATTCTTATGTCTATACAATCTGACTACCCCTGATCTACTAGTTTGACCTATGTAGTTGACCTCACTCACAGTCATTGCAAGGTATTTTGTAAATTATATTATTTTGTCTAATTGGGTTAACTGACAGGGTCCTTTAACCTACAGAGCTTGTCCCTGAGTGAGTTTGTAGGCTTAAATGCCACCCTAATTCATGCTCTATTAAGAGTCCCACGTAGGGTCTCAGATGTCCCCTCCTTATATGGTATAACAGTAGATGACTTATATTCTCTCTTATTTATGCTATCGTTATTAGTTTCACAATTATTTTTATTTTGCGTTTGTCCTTTTCTGATCTTCCGAATGAATTTTATATGATAGTTATTTGATAGCTATGCTTCCTCTTCTACCTGTTTTATTTCATCATTTAGGCCTTTTCTTGTACTACTTAGTGCTACTGCTCGGTTTGTTAGACGCTTAACTAAGCCTGCCTTAACAGTTAACGGATGAGATGAATTAAAGTCTAAATATCTATTAGCAGAATGCGTTGGATTTTTATAAACGCTAGTGTGTGCAGTGCAGTTTACCTTCTTCTATTCGTTTTATTTTACAATCTAACGTAGCTAATTCTCCTTGTTCATTTTCTGATTCAAATGTGAATTTTATTCACTTCACTAGTGAGTTTATGTGTCAAGAAGCTAGAGATATGTTCTGTTTTCAACACTGTGAAAGTGTCATCCACACATTTCCACCATGGTGATAACCTTATTACTTAGTATGTGCACAGATGATGGATACGCTTTGAAGTAGTAAAATGCAAAATTCTTATCCTGAAAAAGGTAATCTTAATCCGCTATTCCTATGTCTGTAGTTCAGCAGCAGAATGCTCGCCAACCACTGTCATATCGTGAGGGTTTGATTTCCACCTAACGCACTGCTAAACCTCGATTAGTTGGTAGTAAGATCAATAATGAGGGAAGGTTGGGCGTAAGGCTGGCAGCGCCAGCATTACTGCAGCTTCGAAACTCAGTCTAGGAATGTGAATTAGTGGGAAAATTTGCCTTATTCAAGTTTACCTGAGATAAAATCGTTGAATGTAAGATCGTTACTCGAAAATTTTGTAGTAATTTATTGCTTAAGGTATTAAATGAAGGAAGTATAACTCTAAAGTAAGTTGGCGAAGTACTCTACTAGACCCTAACAAGTTGAAATGATTGTCTGGGAAGTGAAAAACTAGGGACGAATAAAGAGAAAAATAGTTCGGAGTGAGTTGTGCAGCTAGATCAGTTTCTCATAACCTTGGTAGGATCAAAATTTATACACTATCTACTGATTATTTTCAATATTTGCATAGCAACGATTTTGCCAGACAAAGACAAAGGGGCAAAATTCAACATATAAGTATAAAACTTGGGCACTGTGGTAGAGTGTAACTCCATTATGGATAAGATTATATTTTGATAAATCACAAAGTGTTACACAGTAATATTAACTGATGACGTTTCGAGCCCAAATTATTGCCACTCATAATCATATCAAGGTAATCACACAACTTCTTTCCTTCATTTATATACATGTGTGGAATCGACTAGATATTGGAATAAAATTCAATATGAGATAATGTACATTCAGAAATAATAATACGAGTGTTATTGATCAATTAAAATTATATGGGAAATAAAACGAATGTTCTTATAGTTATAATAAGTAATTTGTTAGAATGTTGTGATTTGCTTGAATTGAAATAGAATTCATTAAATCTACACCCAACACATGCAACAGAAATGACTCAATGCAAATACCAGAAATATGGAAGATATTATTACCACCAGTCAAATCAGAAGACGATAATAAATAATCTCAAAATTCTATTTCAATTCAAGCAAATGACAACATTCTAACAAGTTACTTATCATAACTATAAGAACATTCGTCTTATTTCCCATCTAATTGTATTTGATCAATAACACTCATATTATTATTATCTCTGAATGTACATTATCTCATATTGGTTTTTATTCAAATATCTAATCGATTCCACACATGTATATAAATGAAGGAAAAAAGTTGTGTGAGTAGTGCCTTGATATGATTATGAGTGGCAATAGTTTGTGCTCGAAACGTGGTCATCACTTAATATTACTGTGTAACACTGTGTGATTTATCAAAATAAAGTCTTATCCATAATGGAGCAAAGTTCAACAATAGCGTCCCAGGAGTGCGGACGCACGAGTGACCTTCAGCTGACCAATCAGAAAAATGAGGAATGCTTGCACAAAAAATGATATATATTGACAAGAAAATGCTTAAAAACGCATTAAACAGGTTATCTGTCTCTGTCATGGCTTAAAAATACGTCCTAGTAATAACAAGGAGTATCAGTTGCTAAGTTAGACTAGTTTCTGTACATGTATTCACCGAGATGACTACAGATAAACTGTTTTTGTGAATCGTTTATCTCTCTCTCATCCTGCTTGCAGTCTTCCAAAAAAAGCCCGTGGTTGAATTATTATGGTTTGCAGCAAGAAGATAGATGACTACTTACTAGGAAAAAGTGGATAATAGAAAAATTAAAATAAATGACATCAACTATAAATCTATCCCCAATGGTAACCATAAGCTCAATCCTGACCCTAACACTAAACCTAACCTTAACCCTAACCCTAATCATAACCCCTATTCAAACCGTAATTCTAACCCTAACTCCAATACCTACCTTAACCCTAATCCTAACCCTAACGAGCCATTAACACATTGTTCAAACAGTTCTGGGTGAAGTTTGCTCCGAAGTTGGTGAATAGCGTTGGTATTTCAGCTGTGATAGTGACAGACGCCGTTGGTCAACGACTAGCATGCATTCAACGTCATTAGAGTGTTAACACTCCTGGGACGCTATTGTTGAACTTCGCCGACAAAGGATTTTATTTTTTTTGTCATTCGACTTTTCGATGTGTGTATTTCATTCATTTGCTTTCCGAATGGGAAATAGAGCTTTAAGCTCTGAAGTTTCATTGATGGAGGTGTTATTTTTGTGGGGAGTGTGGGAGTGTTGCCCAAATTTCCCTGTTTACTGAGCTTATTACCGGCTGGGGATCAAACTCAGTCAATGTGCGTGATTGGTTTGCATTCAAACACTTAACCACTGTTGAACTTTTGTAAAAACTTATATTTGTAAAGTCTCAGCGAGATTGAAATGAGTAACTCCAACGTTTCATTCGGCAATCTGGTCCGAACTTCTTCAGGGAAATTAATCGAAATTAACATAACAGAGGTTTATATATAAAAGGAACATCACTTGTTTTTAAAACCTTTGTCCAATCATGAGTCATTCAACAAGTATCAACAAGTATAGTAAACCAAATTTTATGAGCTGTGATCAAAATTTGACCTCGGACTTACAAATATTGGTCTATCTTTGTTAAACACTTTAAACAGTGTGTATGTGTGTGTGTGGGTAAACAGTTGTAAAACATTTCTTAAGGTCTCCACTGTTGAACTTATTTAAAAATTTTCCGAGTCATGAGCATGCAGGTATCACACAACCCTTTTCGAACCTTGCACATATCCACTAGGTAGCCAACTATTTCATCCTTCTTTGCATATCCAGTGTTGGTTTAGGTTATAAAAATGCCATTGTGTTAGTGAAAATTGGCGTATTTTTGTCACATTTCTCATCTTTCACGAGTGGAAAGTAGCCTAAATACGCTCAGTTCTGAAGCACGTTGGCTATTATTATTCCCACTAATGAAAGATCAAAATCCCGTAAACAACTGCACATAATTAAGTGAGATACAATGAGAGATACAGAATACTTCGCGAAAAATGCCCATTAAGACATTGAAATAAGAACAAATTAGTTCAGCGAAGAGTCTCTTTTCGGCGAATTCATTCACTTAGCTGTACAGTCGCAAATATATACAATTAATTTTGTGTGTGTGTGTGTGTACATTAGGTTTGTCAAAATCAAAATAACAGTGTGGGTTGTTGATTACATCATCAAAATAATTAAGAAATTAAAATGTGTGATTAATAATCAAAGTTGTAACTAAGTGGGATGAAGATTGGTAAGATGTGAGTAGGGTTACGTAATATAGACATGTTTAGAAAGATTAGATGTTAGTGAAGGAGTATGGAGACAATTATGAAAATAAACTAGGTAATAGGTGAACAGATTGAATGGGTTAGTTACTAAAAATTGTTATACGAAAATTGCAAAAAAATTTGATAACAAAAATTTGATGACAGATAAACTTGAAATTAAACCCACGGTAGTAGGAGGGGGTGGAGAAGTTTCTTCTGTGTGCATAAATCAGGCTTTTCTATCCAAATCGCTAAGGCTTCGGCAATACAAAGTATACGGAAGCTTGTCGACTTTGGAAGGCTTCTTTTGACTTCATAGATGACTTTGAACGACTTCTCCTTGCAAATCGAATGACCAGTGTTGAGTATATGCTCAATAATGGCGCTCCTTATTGCTCCGTTGTTACCTTTCCGTAGCCAGGCGGGATAGTGTTCTTGAACTCTTTTAGATAAAACTCGCATCGAACGACCTATATACCTCTCTCCGCAAGAGCAGGTGAATTGGTAGATACACATGGAAGTGGTCAAATGCGATAGTTCGTCTTTAGAGTGGTTGAAGAACAATGGCCGGGAGGAAAATGTCAGTCGTAGTGTGGCAGCGAAGAATGTCCTTCTGGGAGCAGTAGATATCCTCGTCTTCAAGGTGTCAGCGAGAAGGTCACCTTTAAAGGGTAAATTCATGTAGACCATCTTCCTTTGCACTGTAATGGGTTGTTCTTTGTAAGTCTTAGGCTTAATATGCTTGTCTATAAAACGGGGTGGGTAGCCATTCTCGAGCAGTGTCTTCCTTAAGAGGGTGATAGCCATTTTTAAAATCATAAACGTGACCAGATATAATTTCATGCTGTCGTTCATTCAGAATTTTTTCTTGTTACCTATACATTAACACGATTGCTTCTACTTATAATTGAACAGGTGGAATCACAAGAAATTGATCGTTTACTTCAATGTATCTCAGAATATTATCATACAGTCCGTTGGCCATCATTATCGCCTATCACGTCAACGAATATCTCCTCCAGTTCAAATAATCATCTGTCAAGACAGACAGTAACACCTCCAGTGACTGTTGATCAGTTATCCTTAATATTCTATGCTATTCTCCTTCTACAAACTAGTCTACACAATGTGAATGCGGCAAAATCAAGTCTAGGCAAACAGAATGTCAATCAGTTTATTAAAAATGTACACGGTGAGTGGTGTGGTATGATTTTTTTTCTTTGATTGCATTTTCTCTTCTCTTCCTCTCTTTTTTTGGAAAACAAGACACTATTTGCAGACATCTCTGCATGACTTGAAAGAATCAGACCCTTTTTTTTCTGAACATGCGCATATGTCTGACATGTTTTTCGGGTTGTATGAATTCTCTAAGGTAGGAAGTTTAAGTGCAGAAACAGTGTATATATTCATCAACGGGAGGGATTTGAAAGAGATTACTTCATTCACTTATCTAGGCAGCATTGTCTCAACTGCAGGCAGGTGGAACGAAAGAGGATGTCAAATCGAGAATCGGGAAGGCGAGAAACACATTCATCAACCTGAAACCAATCTGGAAATCTTCCACTGTCACTCCTCAACATCAACAACAAAATTCGGATAATCAATACAAACGTCAAGTCACTCAGTTCTTGTATACTGATGGATCAGAAACTTGGATGGTCACAAAGAATATTTCCAACAGCCTGTTTCAGACGTTTATCAACAACTGTCTTCGCTCTATACTGAAGATCAGATGGCAGGAAAGAACAACAACCAACAAGAAACAAACTATGGGAACAAACAAAACAAACAAGAACCAATCGGCCAACAAATATGCAGGAGAAAGTGGAGATGGATTGGACACTCACTGGCTGAGGAGGCCGCTTGGTGACATCACGCGTCAGGCCAACGCTCGAGTGGAACCCGAAAGGGAAGCGGCGAGTTGGTCGTCAGTGCAAGGGTGACATGGAGGAGATCGTGTCAAGAAGAGTTGAAACAGCATGGACTAACATGGAAGCAGGTGATAAGTACAGCAGAAGACAGAAGCAAGTGGAGACGTGTAGTTGAAGCTCCCTATGAAAGAAACCCAAGGGAACAATAGTAATATAATAATGGCTACATCTGTCTCCCGTGTGAGAACGGTTTGTATTTGTGTACAAAGTATAGATTACACAGTGGGTCAATCAAATAGGCATTATAAGGCAGTAGTAATTAAACTGTTGACAAACCAAACGGGAAGCTAATTAAACACATTGTTTTCGATCATATGTATTGGGATATAATGAGAACAAAAGCAATAAACATGTCGTTTTGTAAAACGGAAACAGTTGCTGGTTATGTTATTTTGTTTTCAGTTTAGTTCCTTTAAGCAGAAAGCTGCATTAAGTTATATATGTCCAAACCAAGTTGACTTTTAACGGTTTGAAAAAATTTGGGCATTGGGTATATGATATTCATTATAATAAAGGTTTTTGTATTTCCCAATGAATGAAAAACAAAACGATATTGTTTTTACTGACGTTTCGCTATTTAATGCTAATAGCTTTATCAAAGTATTATAATACTTTGATAAAGCTATTAGCATTAAATAGCGAAACGTCAGTAAAAACAATATCGTTTTGTTTTTCATTCATTGGGAAATACAAAAACCTTTATTATAATGGAGAAAGCTGCATATATCTGAGAAATTGCATAACAAGTAGTTTATGATGAAATTACTATATTTATCCCCTGTACTGTTGAGAAAGCATATGAGTGACTGTCTGCCAATAATAATCATTATTATTATTCCCTTGAGTTCTGAGTGGAACAAAATGGATTCAACAGTACATCTCCACTTTAATCCCGTTTTCTGCGATCCTCTTCAAATACCTTGGCGACCGCCCATAAGCTCTTATCTTCTCTTCACATGATTTCCTGCAGATCACCCTTGGACCCTAGACCCGATTCCTTGTTTTCTATCCGGGTTTCACTCAATTACCTGGGTGAGGACTTCACTCAGTGGTTTTCTCACTGTGTGTTTGACTCATCTCCATATACTTCGGTAAATGTTTTTTCCTGGGCAGTAGGTCCTCTGTCGGTTCCTTCCTTGTTGCTAATTCTTTCTAGTCAATTAAATGATCTTTATTTGAGAACCAGAGAAGGCAGCTTTCTATGAAAGCCTTTAGCAGTCTTTATGAAATGCCTTTGTTGGCGCTCCAAGTCTCTGAACTATAAAGAAGCCCTGACTGACTTGACATTGATGACGAAAATACAAAGCCTGTCCCTTAAACTGAGTTCTAAAAGATCTGACACTTATTTTAGAACCACACATTTAAGCGAACAGTGATATTGTTTTCAATTAGATCTCATCAGGCTTAACTCTAATATATATAAGTTTACAAATAAAATTCAAATATAAACCAATCATGGTGTTTTGTCTATAGGATAATACGATGGTGAATATAAATTGTGCAATTAGTCTGAATAGTAATAATAATAATGGCCTTATCAATAATAAGGATGAAAAAGTGAGGCAATCTTTGATAACACGAATAATGAAAAAAACAGTATGATTAAACAAACAACTGTTCAGGTGGAAGTAGTCGATAAGGGCTAGTAAAAACAAATGAACCGATTAAGTAATGTTAGATTGTAAGGGAAGGAAATGAAACACGTTTATAATGAAGATGTGATAAGATTAAGGGATGATAAGAAAGGGGTTGAAAATATAAACAAAGGGTGGTGTAGAAGTCATTAGTTGGTTATGTCTTAATAGGCCAAGGGGGGGACAATGGCTGTACGAACTTTTTTTGAATACATAGTTTACGTTTAATAGTTCGAATGCCTATCGCCTCAGCTGTGTGCAGTAAACGAATACGAAGTCTATTGGAAAGATTCCGTGGGATACGATGAACTACTTTGAAGGCTTTCGTTTTCTCGATTACATGACCACTATCAATTAAGTGTGACAAAATTGAGCTACGAATTGTTTTTGTCTGTCCTTTGCCAAACTACGATGGGAGATGTTCACTAACACGTTGGTTAAGCTGTCTAGTAGTAGTGTGCCCAACATAACTGTCACCGCAGGTGCAGTTGAATTGATAAATGCGCATAGATGTGGCAAAACTATCAAGCTTATCCTTCGTTTGCGTCCCAATCATTCGTCGGCTAGAGAATGACAAACATAGGTGTGCTGCATAAAAGGTTCTTCGTATACTCCTTGAAAGTCTTTGGAATAGAATCTCACTTGATAAGTCACCATTAAATTGTAACTTAATAAATAGAGGTTTCTTACGTGCAGTCAGAGTCTCTGGTTTTTTCTCCGATGTTTTCATACGTTTCTTTATGAAACTACTCGGATAGCCCATATCCATCAAGGAATCGTGAATATATTCAAATTTCTTTTGTAAGAGGTCATCCGTACATATCTTTCTTGCTCTGCCTGCAAGACATTTTACAAAATTCCTTTTATATTTAATGGGCACGTAACTAAGGTAGTGTGTGTATTGCCCAGTGAATGTGCTTTTTCTATACACGTGTGGTGAGAGCTGTCTACTAGCCAAATTGGTAGACAGTAATTTACGTCAATATTTACGTTCCCAAGATTTGTCGTGAGAAAATGTGAACAAAGATTGATTCAAAACCGACCACAGCAGACTTTGCGTAGGCGGATGCAGTTAACATATAGAGGATTTGACATTCAAGAAACAGTCACAAATAGATGAAAGATTAACTTTACGTGAGAAACAACCAATCGGAAGACTGTGTTTGTTTACTTAAATATCCATAGTAATGTACATGAAAATATATAAATATGCGTTGATTTCCTTAATAAATGATCTGTTGCCTGACTCTTGCCTTCTGTCGTTACACACGCTTCTCCCAAGTAACCCATCTTCTCTCCTACTTAGCAAGACATCCAGGAAATGTAGTTTATTCTCCTGCTCCTCTTCACAAATAAAAGTAAGTGAGGGGTGGATGTTGTTGAATTTCAGCAACAATTCGTCTATGTTAACATTCCCATCAGCTAAGATAAATGTATCATCGACATATCGGTAATACATATCAAACTGCTTGATGATGTTCTTCAATTTCCCGTTTTCAAGTTTTGCGAGAAAGAAGTCAGCTAATATTGGGCCTAATGGTGAACCCATAACTATTACATCTACTTGTCGATAGTATGAATTATTGAAGACAAAGTGAATATTCACTGTGCATTTAAGAAGTAATCCTGCCGCCTGTAAATCTTCGAGTTTATATGATATTAGACATAAATCGTCCACAAATTTCACACCTTCTCAAGTCTTCTTATCCGTCCAGCTTATCCCTGTCGTCTTGCTCTTCACGGTATGTCGTATGGTCTAGTACACCACAGTTAGGAATATGATCTACTATAGTAGATAGTAGTAATCAACTTAGTCTTACCTTCACTTCAAAGGCATCGCTAAATTTTCTCTTTTTATGAACTACTTGACATGTGGCATAGTTACATATTTGGGGTTGGTGAAAATTTGGGGCACTCAGTGGTTTTGAAGCAGCTTCTAAACATATTTAGTAAATATATAAGGAACGACCAAAGTTCGGGCATGTATGCACAAACGTAGAACCCATGTGACTGGATGTATAATTTGCATTTAAGAAGGTTAATTCCAATCCAATCAGATATAACAAAAACTGTCCAACAGACATGACTATATCTGTTCTGATAGTACGGTACGGTACGGTACGAACAAATATTAGGGGAAATATCCTGTTAAATTACTGACACATAAAAGCATTTCTCCACAGCTACTGTGAGAATATATAGAAGGCGAAAAATGACCACTAATTGTCAAACTATTATTATCTAAAAGAAGACGCTGTTTAAGAACAACCTTAACAGCTAAACTTTTGTTTTCAGTTCTGTGAAGAACACAAACAGTTACAACTATGGCATTTATATTGTGTGAAAAGCAAAAACACTAAAATGTTGCTGGCGGTGTGTATTAACAAATTCCCGATCACCTTGAAGATAAAGTTATTGACGCATGCCTCGATGTCATGTTAGTGTGTTGTGAAAACTACTGATAGGGAATGTGTTCATGTAGCATGCCTTGGCGCTACCTCCAGTAAACGTCACATGAACACACGAGAGACTAACCAAGTTTTCAGAGAAGAAAATTCATTAGCAATATGTGGAAGGAGAGTCAATGAAGAGAAAACTTAACAGGAGTAATACGTTTATGAATATAT